AGTGAAAAGTTGATAGGATATACAACTTTTGATGCTCTTTCCAATGATATATAGAGCATTATTGCACGTTGTGCCGTTTTTGATGAATTTAGTAAAAAAGCACGACATTACCGAGATTTGAGCTCACACCTATATATGGTCTTGCTCAGACAGTATACGAACAGGTGACGGGGATACCTCCCAATGAAGGATGCGATTTAATGCTAAATATTAGCGGCCGGCCTCCGTGGGGACGTTTTTGCACGACTTATATCTCCGCAAGCAGGGGACCGATACACTTGCAGTTTTTTGTAAGGGGTAGCGTATACCCTTCTTACAAGTACTTCACTATGGACGATGCATGCGGGTGACCCCTATTGCACGTGACACGTGTAAAACGGAGAGGTGTCAGTTTTGTAATAAGTGCAATAACTCGGTAATTACTGGGCCGATTGCGCTGAAACTTGGTATGGAGGTAGTCACCTACTAGGCGATTCATTTTTATGTGCCACGGTAGGGGTGCCGCTGCACGTGCGCACGTGCAGGGTGACGCTTCCAGATCTCGTGACCGGCCGGGCCGATTGAGTTCAAATTTGGTACACCGCTAGAGACCGGTTAGTAGGGTGCCGTGCGGAGGTCAGTAAGGACCAATCTTGCACGTGCGCACGTGCAGGGTGAGGCTTTCAGATCTCAGGAACGGCCGGGACGATTGAACTCAAATTCGGCACACTTCTAGGGACCGATCAGTAGGGTGCCGTGCACAAGTCAGTTAGTATGTATTTCCATGTGCCCAGACTGGGGTGCAGCTGCACGTGCGCACGTGCAGGGTGACGTTTTCAGATCTCGAGAACGGCCAGGCCGGATGAGCTCAAATTTGGTACACCGCTAGAGACCGGCGAATAGGGTGCCGTGCAAAAGTCAGATGGGACCATTTTGCACGTGCGCACGTGCAGGGTGTCGTTTCCAGATCTCGAAAACGGCCGGGTCGATTGCACTCAAATTTGGCACACCGCTAGAGACCGGTTAGTTGAGTGCAGTGCACGTCAGTTCGTAGCACACCCACTCTGATCTGCACGTGCAAGGCTCATCCTCTCGTTTGGCGGCGGGCGTTTTTGCGGCGTTACAGAGGTGCTTGCTCAAACAACCTGCGGTCCCGCGATGCGGAGCCCAGCATCGCAGATGCTGGTAACCGCAGGTTGTTTGAAAAGACAAACACTATTCGTTAGAATTGTGTTTTTCTATTGAAAAACAACCGGAGCGGTCCTTCTCCGGGCTATGTTTTGCATGTCTGGCCGCGAATCGAGACATCTTGATTGGGGCCTAAACTTGTGGCTCGATTTTCGTAAAAATTTCAGGGTATGGGCTCCCGCAGGCGATCTACCTGATGGCACCGGTCGCTACTCGCTTAAAACCTCGTGGCACGTGGCACGTGCCATTCCATTTTCCCCATGTTAAGTCAATGGGGTTTTGGACACTTTTTGCGCGATCGGGAATAGCGGAAAAAATCGCGGAACAAGGTATGGTTTGCTGCACACCATTTTATGACCGACACGTTCAGGTACACGCCCGTGTGCGCCGTATACCCGTCAGAATTCGTTAACGTGAGTTGCACGAGTTTGAAGTTGAGCTTTTTTCGCTCCCCATGTTAAGTCAATGGGCGTTTTTGCAGAGACATTTTCATTCGCTCATTGTACAAAATTATATGATACGATTTTGTTTAAACTTCCAGGACTTGTTGAGAAAAGACCATAGAACATGTTGTTATGCTTCTTTAAGCTGTGCAAATTCGTTTGTTCTTTTTAAGCTCGTTTAAAAATGAAAACATTTAACATGGAAAGTCAATGGGAGCTCTTTGTTGCTTAATAACTTTTTACAGTTGAGATATATTTAAGTGAAAATTTGATAGGTTATACAACTTTTGATGCTCTTTCCAATGATATATAGAACGTTATTGCACGTTGTGCCGTTTTTGAGGAATTTGGTAAAAAAGCACGACTTTACCGAGATTTGAGCTCAGACCTATATATGGTCTTGGCTCAGACAGTATACGAACAGGTGACAGGGATACCTCCCATTGAAGGATGCGATTTAATACTAAACATTAGCAGCCGGCCGCCGTGGGGACGTTTTTGTACGACTTATATCTCCGCAGCCACTGGACCAATACACTTGCGGTTTTTTGTGTGGGGTAGCGTATACCCTTCTTAGAAGTATTTTACTATGGACGATGCATGCGGGTGACCCCTACTGCACGTGACACGTGTAATACGGAGAGGTGTCAGTTTTGTAATAAGTGCAATAACTCAGCAATTACTGGGCCGATTGCGCTGAAACTTGGCATGGAGGTAGTCACCTACCAGGCGATCCATTTTCATGTGCCACGGTAGGGGTGCCGCTGCACGTGCGCACGTGCAGGGTGACGCTTCCAGATCTCGTGACCGGCCGGGCCGATTGAGTTCAAATTTGGCACACCGCCAGAGACCGCGTAGTAGGGTGTCTTGCACAGATCAGTTGGGTCCCAGGTTGCACGTGCGCACGTGCAGGGTGACGCTTCCATATCTCAGGAACGGCCGGTAGACCGACGAATAGGGTGCCGTGCACGTCAGTCCGTAGCACACCGACTCCGGTCTGCACGTGCAAGGCTCATCCTCTCGTTTGGTGGCGGGCGTTTTTGCTGCGTTTACAAAGGTGCTTGCTCAAACAACCTGCGGTCCCGCGATGCGGAGCCCGGCATCGCAGATGCCGGTACCGTATATCGAGACAATACATTGGAAAGTGGAAACGTACATCAACGCTAGTGTTTTGTAATGATAAGCGGACTGAAATCATATATTGGTCATATTCATGGTGCTTTTGCGTGGCAAGTACCAATATACATAAAACATTATTGGGTTGAAGAAAAAAATGACGAAGTCACACATTCGGCGGATTCACTTCACGAGAAATTTGTTATGAAAGAGCTCGAGCAGTCTTCTAAATTTATAGAAGAACTTTCACTTGCTACATGTCCGTCGCCACCCACCACTTTTTACGCGATTCGTCCATGAAAAACCGAGGGAGGGGCCCACCCGATCTCTTCGAAGTACGTGGGTTACATTATGGTAAGGAGTTCACGTGATCGACATAACCTTAGCTGACCATGATGCAACATCCGAGATACACAAGCATATGTAATACTGCCGTTTTCACGACGGGCTATCCGGCGAGTGCACCTTATTTGACCAAATCTGCACCTTATCTCTTTTACTGCAAATATCTTTATTTTATGAATTTATTTCAGTGTTTTAATCGATGATACTCTCTGATAACATGACGAAACAGGGATAGGTATAAGCAATTAGTGCAGCCCCAGCTGATAGCTACTCAGAGACACACTGAACCTAATTTGACCAAATATGCACCTAATGTGCACCAAATGTGTACCAGATGGCCGTCGTGAAAATAGCTAATGTCTCGGGAGTGTGGCAACTTTGTGAAAGTGTCATCTTCCAAAAATATTTCTCCTTTCATATGCACCACAAGCGTCGGAAAGTTGCGACGTTTCATAGAATGAATTTCTGCTCGTTGTCCGACAAGCTTTGCTCAGTTGTATCGCCTTACAGGGTATCAGTAAATGACTGCTTGAATCTGAGCAGCAATATTACCTGCAACTATCAAATCGTATGACTGCTCCCTCTCACCTGCATTCTCCCCACGTAAGTTTCAATGATTTTCTATACGTCGTTGACCTTCCGAATATCTTGCAAAGGTAATGCCTCTCTTATGTCAATGCACACAAGAGAATTAACTCCTAAGCGGACGGGTGTTCCCTTCAGGCTGGCTTTTTACATCGTCTAAGTGTGTGGTCCGAAACACTGCGGTGCAAATTCAATCCACCCAAGTGCCTTCACTAAGTGCCAAGGCCTTCAATTTGGGCACTAATCCAATCAATATCACTTATGTGCAAGGTGGTTAACACGAGTGTTTTGAGTATGTGCTCGACCTTGGCTTTATTCAGAACGCAATGCCGATATTTGCCGACCATATAAGACACATCTGTGGCCAAGGTAAAACGCACGATAGGGTTACTGATGAAGTGTGGAAGTCGTCACCAGGAAGCACCACGCTTTTATCACACTGACCTCCTGGCCGTTTACAAAACACATGTTTGTTCTGTTCGGGAATATGAATGCATTGCTTGGTCCGTAGTCGCAATCAACCACCTCATTGGGCTCGAACATTTATAACACAAATTTTTGATCCGGTTGCGATTCATTTAGCCCCTGTCCTTATTGACGTGTTTACAGCCGCATGTGGGGGGGAGGGTCATTCGGACCCCTTTCAATCTGTTTGAATCCCAATCGAACTAGAGCTTTTCGGAAATGATGATCGTGCTGCCCGACGAAAGGAAGCCGATGGTACCCAGTTTTAAGGTCGTCCCAGGTTATTGGTTGACCTTCCAGGTCAGGTCAGTCACCCAAATTGGAAAGATCGGCACATGCGAACTTCTTGAACTGAGGTTGTATGTTTGTTTTAGTACAATTTCGCGTTTGCTTTGTTCAGATTAGGTTGATGAAGGACCTTCCCATAAGTTTTATATGGATAGCGTAAAAAGTGGCGCATAGCTGCCAGCTGGCATAACATGTGGCCAAATGCGGCATAATAAATTTGTCTTAGTTCTTACGCCAATGGATATGCGCTTATAGCAATGCATATTCGTAAGAAACGTATCGAAATGCGATGTCTGAGTGCGTGGTTTTACGTTATACAATATGCATGAAACAGTTGGAATGCACCATAGGGCGTCATCGCCTTTGGAGTTCGTCTGCCGGCATATCCTTTTTTATTGATAATAATGTTGAATACCCCAGTAGTGAGGTTAATTCCGAGGGCATTAACTAGCTGATAGCTCGGAGAGCTTGGCTCAAACAATGCCGACATAGGTGGCTTTTGCTCATCGCTTTCTCCAATATAGGGTGCCACGTCAAGCGGAGTATACGCTACACGGAAAACCAAACCGGCGCGTTAGTAATTGGGCGACGAAAAGTTTCCCGGGCCTTTTGGGGTCATTTTTTGTGGAGCTACCTCGTCCAATGACCGATTGTTTGTCGATGTGTCGTGGAGTTATTACCTTACCCTCAGTGTGGCGAGGAGCGTCTTGTAGTAAACATTGCCCGGTCCTAGCCAGTGACCAGGATAGTGTGGCCGCCTTCACTCTTTCGCAGTGCTTACCTACTTCTGCAGCTAGGTGTACAAAGATGACATCTCTACCGTCCATTTCCCTCATTCTTCTGCTCGCGTTGTGTTCCACCGTCCTGTGTTCGAGCCGTCTCTCAGCCGAGCGCGAGCGTGACCGCTGGCTGCGCTCCGGAGGTCGCGCCGGTGACCCAGAGGTTGACCTGAGGCGCTCTGAGATCAGCTCCTGGCGCACAGGTCGCGCTGGAGACTGGCGCCGCGACAGGTCCGACCGGTACACCGAGAGGTACAGCTCGCGACGCTGGCAGAGACCGGGAGAATCTCGATCGGACGCCGTATCTCGTCCAACTACCCCCGACACACCAGCGGTGAAGACGAGCTCACCTGCGGCGTCATCAGGACGAGCCAGTCAGAAAACTCACTCAGCTGCCTCCAAAACTACCGAGGCAGTCTCCGAGGAGAGACGGCGTCACTACGAACAGCGGGTGTCGTCCCAGGGCTGGCGACAGGCCGATGATAACAGGAGACCCTGGCGTTACGGAGATAGGGCGCCGACCCGTACCGCGACTGCCATGCAGAAGCAGCCGATAGAGGACCTGAGCACAGAGAGCACCCGACACGGGTCCATGGAGAGCATCGAACCCTATGAAGAGCTCAAAGAAAACCGCACAGTCACGCGTCAGGGAAAATGTAAGTTTTATTTCTTTAATTCCACCAACTGCTACGCTAGTCAGTAGTCACTATGAATATTACGCGTCATCTTTTTTAAAAACCACAAAAGCTATTTGCTGCGTCATTGCACATTCCCAGAACGAGTACCAATATTGGAGCTGCGGAAACAGCAGCGTCACGAAGCGGCGATGTCCAGGGGCTGTTTAATATCAATTGGTGATGACGCCGTTCTACTGAAGTAGCGGGGCAGAGTGGAGTGGGGCTGAGGGGCCTGCCAAGGTCAATGTCGCCGTCCACGATGTGTGAATCCTGGATGGAGGGGCGGGCGAAACAACGCGCTTCTACGTGTCTACAGCGGCGGAAGTGCGCCTAATTTAGCCAGGTGACAAATGACTGGACGCAGGCTCGCACAAACTAAACGTCAAAAACCAGCTGATATATAGGTGTAATTGTTCCGTAAGTGTTCCGTCCAGGACGGAGGATTACGAGTATGAGTGTTTAACAACCAAAGGCTCTACAAAGACGAAAGGGCGCTTAAAATGCAAACCCTTTGACTGTATTTTCTTGTTCGTCATTGTAGGCTATCTCGTTCGTTAAATCGTTTTCAAAGCGCGTCTACATTTTCGTTGCCTTTTTACTTTGGCATTTATTTTGCAATGACATAAGATAGTCTAAATGCTGCCCAATTTGTTTCCAGTTTTGTCGTTGCTGAAGCTGGTGCGTTTCACGAATTTCGTGTGTAACGCCACGTCGGGCTCGAACGGCACGTGCTACACCTCAGCCGAGTGTTCACGACTCGGTGGGGTGGAGGAGGGCACGTGCGCACAGGGATACGGAGTCTGCTGCGTCGGTGAGCTTGCCATTTTTTTTACTGTCAATAATATGCATCAATCGTGAGCCCAGTGTGCTCAGGTCAGCCTTTTGCAACGTTTGTCCATAAGTCTGTCGTTAACTTGTTTCTTTTTTGTAATGGACATCCCTCGTCCGCGCAAAGATAACTTTCGTATAGGCTGATGTGAAAGTTCAACATTTTAACCCGCGCCCTGCTGGGGGGGGGGAGGAGTTTGAACTCCCCCCCCCCTTTTGGTTTTTCGCGAATATCTCAAAAACGGCGGCGCCGCCGTTTTTGGTACACCTTATCATACATCAATTCTACACATGTTGTGAAAATTTCAGACCAAGGTCATTCAAGGTCAGGTCACCAGGTCACTTGAAGTGACCTCACCTCATAAAAAGTTTTAATGTCTGTCATAGCTACACCGAGTGACCGATCGCTTTGAAACTTTCAGCGATTGCTGAGAGCAATAGCTTGTACATAATGTATATCTCAGAATTTTGATATCTATGACCTAAGGTCAGGTCAATTTTGCGACCTCCCCATTATAAGTCAATGGGAGAAAATTGAAATGCGCCTCTTTTGGACGAAAGACATTATAAACACTCCCAAACACTGAATTACAAGTGGTTTAGACACACTGAACATGAAAATGGTGTCCGTGACCCCTGTTTATGCCCTGAGGTCATCTTAGGTCACGAATGGTATCTAACAGTTTTTCGCAAATGACTTTTGATAGAGGCATGCTAGAGCGATGAAAACGCCTTAGATGTGTTCAGCTCGACGATACGGATCGACTGATATGCAACATGACCCTTTCCCGGTCATGACCTTGACCTGAGGTCAAATTTTCAAGTTGACCTTTCAAGGTCAAGTTATAGTTCATTTGATGCGTCTTGACGAGAGGAACGCGATGCCGGTAAAAGTAAGCTCGTACAAGGCTTGGGTCAAAAATTATTGCACAAAAACTGTTTCCGAAAAAATCGGTTATTTTTGAAGTTTTTGCCCCCTGCAGGCCAACCCGTTGACGCTAGGTCAAATCTGAGAAATTACTCAGAAAAGGCGTTAATAGGGCTATCGAATGCGCTTTTCCGCGGCGCTGTAGCTCTATTGGTTCCCGAGTTATGCGTTGGCTTCTTGGAAATTGTCGACATTCGACCTGGAAATCGGCGAAATTTTGCCTTCAATGACCTCTGGTGACCTGACCTTTGACCTGACCAAAAAATTGACCGAAGTGATTTCGTCATTATTTTTGACGCTCTTTCGAACGCCGCCTTCCGCGTATCGCTACGTGGCCCAGGAGCCGAGTTAGAAGGGGGGGGGGGTGTTCAAACACACACACCCCCAGCAGGGCGTGGAAATCCAGGACCCCCAGCCGGGCGCGGGTTAAATCTGTGGACCATGGTGGAAAAATTATGGATCATGGATGATTATAGACGTACCTATATTTTCTTTGACCAAGCTGGTGAAATATTTGCCTTTATGAACTTTATATGCGTTCAAATAAATACCCGCAGTGATGAAGAGCTGTGGCGACACGACCAACGTCAACAACACGTATTTTGTCAACGAGAACTACCCGTCCTCGTACGACGGCACTGGCTCGTGTCAGCTGCAGGTCACCAAGGCCAACTCCAACATCTGCCAGCTCAGGTCAGCCAGCCGGCGGCGCTCTCGCCTGCGATGCAAAATAATTTCTGACGATTTATTTTAAAATACATTGCAAATCCAAATGGAAGTTACGTGTAGAATTGAAACATATCAGTGCTTCGTAGATATTGGTATGCTGTATTTCATTGTCCGTCTTGCACATTTAGGTTTTGTTCACAATAATTCGCCCGAATGTCCTATGGACCTTTTTGTATAATTTATCATTTGTTTTGTCAACGCCTGTTCCGGTTTCAGACTTGATTTCGACATATTCACCATCTCCCAGCCGGAGTCGACGAACCACCTGTGTCTGAACGATCAGTTTGTGGTGGACGCCGCCAGTCCGGTGCCGTCCATCTGCGGCATCAACACCGGCAACCACAGTGAGTGGGGAGGAGGTCAGGTCCTTCTCAGTGAGGACTGAGGGGTTCAGGTCCTCGGCAAATAGCGCATGCTGAATATACTGGCAGGAATGTGACAGGGTTGTTAGACAAGGTTGACCGGGTTGTTAGCAGGACTTTAAGAGTCATGGTTGCAAGTGTCTCGTGTCCACCAGTGCTCAGCTAAGCCTATCTGACTGTTATCCAAGTGTTTCTGAGTAGTTCTTCGAGAGAATTTCGCTTATCGCATTAGCCACATAATGTTGTTTAACTAGTTTACAATATTCGTGAAGCAGAATGGTTTCGATAATGTTTTATCCTTCAAACCCCATCTTCAGACATGCCACGAAAATCAATACGAGAATAAAATGGACGATTGATGAGTTTTATACCACTTTGCAAGCTGACTCAGAGCAGCTGACAGCCGCCAAGAAGTCAGTTCTCACTCGTCAGTGGTTGACCTCTCGGTGTGTCCGTTCCAGTGTACATCGACACGGGGGTGCTGAACACGTCGGCACCCATCACGCTCTCCGTGGTCACCTCCGGAGTCACGTTCGCCCGCTCCTGGAAGATCCGCGTCTCACAAATTCCGTGCAACGAACTGTACACAGGTGAGATGGAGCGGGCAGAGGGAGGGTAGAGACGAGGAGAGAGGTGCGGCGCGGACAGAGGGGAGGGCACAGGCCAGGCGGCACAGGTCAACTGTGACAGCGGTGTGCAAACTGAGCAACTGCCGTATCACTTCCTCAGTGACCTCGGTCGACTTTAAAGTTAGACGGAAGTTTTCTGATGACGATTGCCGATATATGTATAGTCGACTACAGAATGATGTTCCACTTTTCACAGGCAATTATTTGCCTGGAGTGGTAGGCTGTGCCGCATCACACGGGCTGAGTTCACAAATTATAGCTTTGTCCCAATGCTCACAATCGACATGCGTAATTGCGTGATAAACGGCACAACTTAGCGTTTCGGTCAACTGATAGCTTCTGAGGAGTGTAACATCATTCTGTAGTCGACTATACGTACGCAAAAAAAAAAAACACACACACACACACAAGTAAACGTAAGCACAAGTCAATTGTTCGTGAAATCAATTATCTGGCGCACCTTACAAGACCTTTTCCGACCTTTTCCGTGAATGAATTCATGTGCAGAATAGTTGGATTAACAATGGCAATTAAGTATAAGTCATGGCAACATAATTTCAAAGTTCCAATTTGTACCTTGATGTTTTAACATGTTCATTTTAATGAGAACTATAAACTCGTAAAGGCATGGTTCGCTATTGCTCATTCAACGCACTGTTCGTCGTTATAAACGGTGGTCTTCAGCTGTTGCTCTACAATCTATATATAGTGAACAGATTCATTTGAATACTCTTCTATAATAGGTACAGAGGACCTTTAATCACATAAACCACAATTTCAACAACTAGCTAGCCGCACTCACTATCCCATTTTCGTTTTTGAAGGTCTCGCTTTTCATCAGAATCGTAACCAAAACCACAATTGTCCGCGGTAAGCACCAAGCTGCTCGAAACCACCACTGGGCGGAACAACGAGAGCGGAACCCAATTACGGCCCGCTGTCACCGAGGGTCACCTGGGTCCCTGGCGGTGCGCTGCGCAGTGCGCACCCTCCCGCGGCTGATCGGTTCATTGCTCGCGCCCGCGCGCGCGCGCGTGTCCCTTCCACCGACCGCGGCGCATCCTCCGATCGGTGATGAGTCAGCACTTCGGCGGCCGCAGCTGGTAGGCGTGAGTCGGCAAATTCTCGGCGCAAACTGATCCTCGGAAGGCGTCTGCTTCTGTGTGCTGTGGCAGATGAAAAGAGCAAATTGTGAGGTTTAGCTGTTGAGCAATTATGCAAGTTTTTCATGGTATGTCAATAATGCCTAGTGCCTACTGCCTTTTGTAAAGCGTCGATATAACAAGATTGGCTAAACCTCACATTGTAGAGGTCGTCGCTATTGACTCTGCCCTATTCGTAAGCTTTCGTTTCAAGGGCGAAGCACACGACACCTAAATGTGCAAGCATGCAATGCGTGATGAAAAAGGAAAGAAAGTAGAAATGACATCTAACGATCATCACACTATTTGTTCCGCATTTTACATTTAACATTGTATTCATGTAAACAGGTTAAAGACGTCAAACAAATACAAAAATGCAGCCTCATAAATATTACTGTTTTGTCAAAAAAATGAATGTTTTATCTATAAATCCTTATTTTATCTGCTTCGATCATTAGTTTGCAAGTACGTCGCTTTCAAGATTGTTTCTTTGACGCCAGAAATTCATTTTTTGGCTATACCTATTAGATAGAATGTAGAGATAAACGATGTGAGCGTTTCCCATTCTCATCTAATTTCATAAATTATAGCAATTCTCAACGGCAGCTCAAGCAAAAAGTAAATACTAAAGAACACGATAGAATGGCTTGCTGGACTGAATGATTACCTATTTGTTGCTACATTTTTTCTTTTTACTTATTTCCGAGGTAATATGCGGATACACCCATAGCATTGACACTAAATTTTGGTTACCTAATTGTTACCTAATAACATTTACATAATTCTCAAAACATGTGCATCAAGCCGAACGTATACGGATATTTTGCTGAAGCCTGACTAGGTATCTCATTGCAGGGCACAGAGCTGTAATTGTATTTGCAATTACCCTGAGTTATCCTTGCATTTATTGCAATCACAATAACTCTCTCCAAATGTTCTGTGTTTGTAACGCAGAGCTAGGATCCGTCGCAGAATGTGGCCGTTTCACGGTGCGTGCTTGGGCTAACCTTGAGACGCAATCCTCTGCGGTTGCGTTGTGCGCCGCTGAGCTCGCTCGTATGCTCAGCCACTGAATCGCCACTGCAGCCATCTTTACCTCGTATAGTGTCGGCAGTAACTTGCTAACTTGCATGTCACGCAACGCGAGTCAGGTCATAACATCCGGAGTTGTTTGAAGGCATTCAACCCCATTTTACAAATCTACATCATTTGGTTTTCATGCATGCGTCTGGTACTGCCTTCGAAATGGGCGTAATTGTAGGGACGTAATGAGTGTGTCGTTTCAAAATCATCGTCGCTGCAAGAAACGTGCTCAAGTGATCGCAATTCCGCTCGTAGTTAGCCGGGGTGAGTAAAGGTCATCCCCGGAAACAAAGTACCCAGCGGATATGTGTCGGGGCGCGTACGTACGCGAATTTTGTGTGTGTATCATTTCAAATGCAAGCTCTGGACTGCCGTCATGTAGGTTGAATTCCCGTGGTGGCTGGTGTTACTGACATCATCCCGATGCAGTCTCCGCAGTGAAAATTTGGGCTGTTTATCTCAGACACTCCGTCTTTCCCACCCTTCAACGCATCTCACTTTTATCATATTCCCGAACTGTTTAGTGCAGACAGCAGTGCCTTTCTACAGCTGCAGCTGTCACAGGGGAACTCTGTCCATTCCAGCGGAGCCCGGCTGCTTGCAGTACCACACCGGCGTCTCGGGAAAGCTACAGTCCTTTAACTTTGAGTTCACCTCCGGCCTGCAGCTGTCCAACCAAGACTACGCCATCTGCATACGCATGGAGAGGAACTTCTGCGGCATTCAGTACCAGCCCTGCGTCGATGCCGGTGAGTGACATGCTGCAAAGATGTTGGTCATTAGTCCATGTGTGATAAAACCATGCAGCAGATCGTCCAGAACACGTTTCTCTGGTTGATTAGTTATATTTTCTTTAAAACGATCCTAATCGTTACACTAGTATGCGCTGCTCGTCAGCAGGCTACTCCGGCCCTCTCTAACCTGTGTGTGTGCGGCTCTCCGCAGCGGGCAGCTCGGCCGGCTCGTTCTCCCTCGGAGGCAGCTCTGCCACGCCTGTGAACGCCGTCACGGGCAGCAGCTGTTCCTCTGACTGGCTCATCGTCCCCTGCGCCTCCGGTTAGTCCCACAGACAGTGCAGCATGACGACAGCGTCTCTGTCTGTCTGTCTGTCTGTCTCTGTCTCTGTCTCTCTCTTTCTTTCTCTCTCTCTCTCTCTCTCTCTCTCTCTCTCTCTCTCTCTCTCTCTCTCTCTCTCTCTCTCTCTCTCTCTCTCTCTCTCTCTCTCTCTCTCTCTCTCACTCGCTCTCTTTCTCTCTTTTGCATATTAATTTCTTTTAGGAACTATATGAACTTGCATGATGTTTCCAACGGTTTATTCTTATGATACCGTGATACATAGGTACTATCATTACACAAAGCATCGTCATTTTGAATATCACAATTAGGTACACATAGATCACAGTTTGATTAAACAATAAACGTTAGCATCATTTGGTTATAATATATCATATGATATACACCATGTAACCACCTCCCCCGCCCGTCCCCTCCCCATCTGTCAGATAACGTGAACAGCCCCCTGACGACGATGAGCGACGGCAACGTATGCGTGGACCGTCTGTGTGGCGACCAGTTCAACACCGTCTCCGGCTCCACGGCCTCTGCCGCCGCCTACAGTACGTCACTCCTGCGAACAACGCGGGGAGACGAACGGGTTGAGATGAGACTGCTCTGTGCAGTCACGCAGTTGTTTTATTTTGCATCTCATTACTAAAAAAATGGCGAAATAAGGGATGAATAGGGAAGACTTAGGGATGACTACAGTAGTGTTTTTTGATGAATATTTTAATGATTATTTGTGTTTAATCAGCACTATTGTGTTGACTAATCAATCACAATTCCGTCTTGGCTCTGTTGTGTTACAGGTTTTACCAAGCCGTTCCGTCTTTTCTACCACACTGACTCCCAGGAGGGAGCCAGCACGCCGGCAGAGGACGGAAACCGGGGATTCTGTCTGGACTATGTACAGCAGCCGTGCACGTCCTAAGTCCAGGTGTTGGACAATGATTGTACAATGTTGTTCGCTGTTACCCCTCCTTCCTGTTGATACGAGAGTACTGTGGAGTGTTAAGAGTGTTTGTAAACAGTAGTGAAATGTCTTTTTGAGCCCTGAATGTGAAGCGTGGTTGTGTTTTTGCCTACTTGCTGGAATGCGAATTTGAGCATTGTTGGATAGATAGTCCTCGATTGCCTCTTCAAGTGAAGCACATTTTTTCTTATTGGAAAATGAAATTTCGTGTTTCGCACGATAGAATGTAAATACGCATTGGTTTGCTGAACATTAACATATGAACACGTATACTACTGATATTAATGTCACAAACAAGGGAGAGTAGGTGCACGGCTGGATGGGGTGCATTATGAAAGTACAAGTGTATAAATAAAGCAAGTAGATCCACAAGCATCAAATATCCTTTTGATTCCCTTGGGTGAACTCGCATTTTTTAACCGAAAGGAATGGCAAGGGCTCAGGGTCTAATTTGCAGATTTAGCACTTCTAAGTGGTTGACATGAAATGTTCCTTATCACTATTTGGTCTGGAGAATTATTTTATTTTGCATTTTCATAAGCTGCAGGATAAAGATTGAACATTGTTTATGTTATCTGTTGCAGTTATAATACCACATAAATGGACATCCACTTGTTACCGACAGTCGCTACCCGATGGTGTCACGCTGAACAATAAGTCCTAGCGGTTTTGTTTCGGTGTTGCCGCCGGCGCGGTGGTTGACCGAGCGGCTCCAGACCGCGCCGTCCCGCCCCTTCCTCACAATCCCACCTGCACACGATCGTCCATCCACGCGACAAAAAAACCGCCGCCGACGCAGGTTCAACGGTCGGGAAAGTGCCCCGTCATGTCGACTCAGTGGTCGCGGCCGTTCGCTTGGTCGGTTGTCGAACCAGGTCTGACTTCCTTCTCGGCAGTGACCGCTGTGGGCAGGTCACTCTCCGATGAGCCCGTTCGTCCCACCCCACCTCACCCCCCTCCGCCCCGCCGTTGCAGCGACTATCGTTGGGCGAGGCGCTCCAGTCTGTGGACAGGGACTCGAAACAGGGGAACGACTCCAGGCGGTACGGGCCAACGGAAAGGGGAGGGAAGCTCCAGCCAATGCACAGTGGGGATTTTTCAGATCTAGCACGTATTTATTCGTAGAGGGCAAACCATAGGTAGTATTGTAGCCAGATTGTGCACAGATGTTGGCTGGTGTGTTCTGGTGAGAGTATTACCTGTAAATGTGCATAATCAACATAGTATAGGGGGGTCAATTGGACCCCCGGCTCAGCCGTTTGGCCCCTGATCAAGCTAGAGCTTCGCGGAAAAATCAAGCGTGCTGTCTATGACGAGATGAGGCCGAATATATCCAATTTCAAAGTCCAAGGTCATTAGTTGACTTTCCAAGTCAAGTCAATGACCCAACTAAAGATGGAAAATCGAGACCTCTTGGAACTTCGTAAAGTGAGGATGTTACGGGGTATTTTGGGGTGCTGATCACGAATTTCATGTTAGTTTTGATCACAGACGATGTCTTCATGCATTTAAGCCAGGTCGGGTCAGGTCAGGTCAGCCAGTAGACGTCCTGCCGGCCATCCATAATAGGTGTCACCTACTACTGACAGCTTCGTAACATGGTACGAAGGCACCAGAACTACTTCCTAAATATTCAAATGGTTGCTAAATTCGAAATCAACACCAAAAACTACCCTAGAAGCAAGTAAAACTCGAAAAAGTGAACCAAGGTCATCAAAGGTCAATGACCTTGACCTGACCTTCACGTGACCTTGACACCCACCATAATGCATGGCACCAGCATCATTTCACATATTTTAACGTTTAAAACCACAAAAAGACTGGAAACCGCGGATAATGTGAGCTGGCATACGCCGAATCGCGATTCCGGCCAAACATGGTCTCGAGAAATATGCCACAGGTCAAAGGTCAGTTGGGTCAGAGTCATGAAATTTTTAGGTTAGATGTAAAATTGATGATCTCGAGGGCAACGAAAGTTTCGTCGCGATCGGCTGCTTTTTGCGCGAGTGATTTGCGGAAAACCATGGGGTTTTATCCGACCCCTTCCCCCTCCCCCTCCCCACTAGTGCTAGGGTTAATAAGGTTGCGGTATGTATAATTTACGCCTGTCATCCTATTCCTCATGAATTTGTCTCAGAAAATATGCATCATATAAGTCAGGAAGTAAAATTATTCGCCTATGTCTGGAACATACCTATATCGTTCTGTTTGCCCTAGCGCTCCTAGAGTGGGGTATTAAGATACTCTAATGCGAATATTCCGTGTTCAGGCAAGTTCCGGCAGCCAAACTAGGCGTTGTCTTGTGCAGGAGAAAGTGGCGAATTCGATAGGATATGTTTCGGAGTGGAAAAGTGTGGAAAACATTGTAGATTTCCTACATTTATCTAGAATACCATTCCTTCAATATGGTGTCTGTAAGGGTTTTTTGTAAATGGCATTTTTGTGACCTTAGTAAGGTTGTGGCATACTTTCTGTTTGCCATTCCATTCCTAATATAGGTGCCTTTCAGAAGATATGCAACTTTAAGAACTCGCAAGAATAAAACCAACAGGACAGGACAATGAAATTGAGCCATACTTTCGGTCCTTACTGAGCCTATTGAGTAATCACGCATGAGTGTGAACTTTGGGCGCATTTTTCCTAGTCTTGCTGTGGACATACAGATAAAACAATGCCATATATAAAAAATTCAGACATTTCTTAGCCCCACTGACACATAAAATAAACAAAAACCAAAAAAAGATTTTTTGAATTAATAGGCGCTAGATCGGAAAAATCCCCACTGTGCAATGGACCGGGTACAGCCAGTGATGTCATTGATGATATCCAGCACAAGGCAGGGCTACCAGAAAGTGGTGCAGTCCCACCCTGTGCTCGCCAGTATCCGAAGCCAGAGGTGTTGTCTGTGACACGTATTCAAGCTAATGAATTAGAGGCGTGTAGGTGGTGTACTTACCTTTAGCTCTCTTATTGTCGCTTGTAATATTTTAGGACTTACGCTAAATTAAAAATTGGCTGTAACAAAACAAAATTATTTTGTTTTGTTTTCTTGAGTTATGGCTCTTTCGGTCTAGTGAGACCATTTCCGAGCCGGAAAGATGATAGGAATTAGGGGGAGACATTGGTCTGTGCGGGCATGCCTTGGTGAGTCGCCGGGGCTGGCCATCCAGTGGACAGGCCGACCATCCCCCTGACACTCACCGCACCCGGCTACCGGCCTGCTCCTGGAGGAGCTTCCCGCATAGGATAAAGCTACCCGTCCAGCCCGGAATAGGGAGTTGAGGCATGGAGGAGATTATGGATATGATAGATAGGAGATATAGGAGATATGGAGTCCAGCCATTAACTATCCTGAAGATGGAAACGACGGAACGGAGGAACAAAAATGCCAACTCATTCAGCTTTTATGCGCTCACTTGTTCCACCTTTCTCTGTGATTCGCCGATCGAATTTGTGATCGCGTGAGGAACTGATCCGCCTATTACGTCACGAAGATGATGTGATTATGCCGCTAAATTAGCAGTGTCGTCGTATGGAGCAAGGAGTATAAATACGGGGACCAGGTAGCAGTATTCAGATTGGACTCAGCTGTCTCCCGAATCACAGGTAAGAGACCGTGCAGGATACAGCAAGCTGTTTATTTTAGTCTTAACTGCGAATTCGATCTTGCGTTTTCGAGGAATTGGTTTGTGTACTGTTTTACGTTTTCAACTTCGTATGCAAATACTTTTCAGCGCAGTTCTTGTCTTATGAGTGCTCACCATTTTGCATTAGAGAATATTTTTCAATAACATTGCCGGAACAAAATGATAATATTCGCCGTATGAATACCTACTCCCCGCAACAATATCATATTATACATAAGTCTACCTATATTTAACATCTGTGCGTTGTTACTTGTTACAGCATCATGAAGTGCCAGCTTCTCCTTCTTGTGGTTTGTGTGTCCGTCGTTTCGGCGGGCATCCCCAAGCGGCTCTTCAAAAAGTATGCCATGCAAAAGGTAATCGTTTGCTTAATACCACTTAGGTATACATATGTTGGCCAAGATATAATGCTTTTTTGTTAAGCTTACCTCGTGTATAATGATTTGTTTGTATATCTTGGTGGATTTAAAAATAAATCATGTTTATATCCATTTTTTTCATCAGTTCGCCCTCAGTTCCATCCCCCATCAATACTTTCATGCACAGGAATGTCTCCCATGGGAGACATGCATGTGTGATTGTATGCCTTCTTCAATCATATAGGTTTTACTCGGCTTTTCGTGATAAATGCATCACACATTTAGCAAATCGATGACTCATGAAAATTTGCACTACTCATAACCGATGAGGCACCACTTCACGTGTCGCAATGCTGTTGCACATTAACTGTGCTCGTCGCCGTACTTTGTTTGACACCCTCACCCCCTGGCCCTTCCCGGCAGGTGATGGAGAGCTGTTTCGGCGAGCAGGTGCTCTCTGAGCTGAAAGAGGAGGTGGCCGAGGCCTGTGAGCGGTGCCTCGGTCGTCAGGGACCGGTGCTGCCTCTGATCCGCCAGCGTCTCCAGGCCATGCTGGTTGGCGCCGAGCTGCGGCCCAGGCCAGCCCGCTTCGCTCCGAGCGTGCAGTTCATGGCTGTGCCCATCCAGTTCCAGCAGGTACGCATCCAAGAATGGTGTTGAGTCACGTCGCTTCGTTTGTGTAACATTTACTCGATACCTATTGACAGTTCAGTGTCTAACTTAGCTCAAAACAAGCTAAGATACGTACGCTCTTGATCCTTATTTATTGTCTTACACATGACCTGAATTTTGCTGCATTCCCTCAAGGCTCACCGTATGAAGCGCGACTCTCACCACGGCATGATCGGGCCCGCCAAGATCATGAAGCTGCGCAACAAGATCTCCGCCATGGTCGGCAACGTCACCTGCGTCATGCAGGAGATGAACATGCTTACGGCCGACAACGAGGTCGACATCGACTCCATCAAGGCCCGCATCTCTGCGCTGCCGCTGCCGGAGGGACTGGTGGCCGACTTGGAGCAGGGTGTTGACGAGTGTCACCAGTTCTCCTCCTGCCTGCCAGAAACCTTCTTCGACAAGACGCCGATCGCCGCCGGCTTCGGAAAGCAGATCGCCTTCTTCAAGTGCATGAAGGTATGTGATTTCAATGTTCTTCGATTTCGAGGATGGCGTCTGCATCTTTGGGGTCGAAGAGTCCCTCTGTGTCTTGCAAAAAATAGCCTATATAATGCATCTATGCCTGAGTGGGGCGAAAAAAGCTGCATCGAACGGTTTTGAAGCTAACGTAGCACTCATATACAACACATCCTTTATGTTTTTACGTACTTTGCTTCTTCTATACACTACCTCTAAGAGTTACGTGACACTTTTATTGTACTGTCTTTGAACATTTGCTCCGTAACATCGTATCGTTTCCCTGAATTGAATGCCGATGTCCAATGTGTTCACAGATGAACAAGGTTGAGTCGTGCATGAAGCAGGACTTCCGCGAGAATTTCATGCCCGAAATGTTGAAGGACAGCATGGAGATGGGAGCCGAGGAGAGTTTCCAGACCATCATCACCTCGGCCATTCTGGAGGACAGTGAATAATGGGAACGGATCATTCGATGTCCGCCGGGGTCCGCCGAGGACCGCCGTAAATGTGACCAAGAGGGCAAGACATAATTTGTAATGAGATCATGTAAATGAAGCCTGCGACGCACGTGGTTGTTAGGGCGGCGAGATATCGCCTAGCGTCCTTCTCTGTTCGTCTGCATCGATCACGCATGTCTGTACTTTTCACTATCGTTTATCCTACTTTCAAACAACGCGACACTCCTATTACGGTTGGCATTGTTTTTGGAAATATATTTTACCAATTCTGTCGTACTAGTGTTTAGTAATTCTTTATTTGCTGTTGCTGTTAGATTCGCATCGTAATTGGGGCGCAGCCGAGTTCCTTATGGTCAAAATGACTGCACTTAGTTATCTATAAATGGCCCAATCTTACCAAATGCCGTGAATGCGCATTCACGGCATTTGGTAACATTCAGAACTATTCTACATTCACTTATTCATTCGTTCAGGCAACATTCACTCACACTGTCAAAATCATTGGACAAGATTAGCTGGATGTAAATAAAACATTCATTCACTTATTCTACATTACTTATTCATTCGTTCAGGCAACATTCACTCAGCACTGTCAAAATCATTGGACAAGATTAGCTGGATGTAAATAAAAAGGATATATTTGATATCAGTGAAGCAAACTCCGGCCAGTTCTGCCAAATCCTATTTACGGCATTGGTAAGATCGGGCCTGGAGAGATTAAAAGTCGCTTAGATGTGATTGATAGCTCTCTACGAGCTTTTCTAAAGCTCTGATGGTCATTTTACGTAAAGGTCAAAAGTCTTATATTTGTCCTAGCTTTTACATTTTTCGCAAGTCGGTGCAAACTTGTGGTTCGATAGAGCTACAGCATCGCGGAAAAGAGCATTTGATACCTACTCAATATTTCCTTTAAAGCTACTTGTCTAAAGTAGCTTTAAACTGCGACCGTCAGCCAGCTGTGTCGCTGTATGGCGCCCTGGTGGAAACGCTGGGGTTGTCGCCAGGGCTGCGGAGTCGGAGTCGGAGTCGGAGTCGGAGTCGGTCGGAGTCGACAGTTGTGACCGGAGTCGGAGTCGGAGTCGATTTTAGAAACCCGAGCCGGATTCGGAGTCGGAGTCACCGAAAATCTGTCGACTCCGCAGCCCTACTAGTTCTGCGAGTCGGAGTCGGGAGTTGGAGTCGGTCGGAGTCGACAATTCTGCCCGGAGTCGGAGTCGGAGTCGGAGCTGGTTTTTGAAAGCCGGAGTCGGAGTCGGAGTCGGAGTCGCCGAAAATCCATCGACTCCGCAGCCCTGGTTGTCGCTACCCAGTAGCGTTTTTGTCCATCATCCCTCCGCGAATGCGGCGCTCCGCTCCCTATGTTGACACCGCGGAGGAACAACCTCGCTGTGACGTCAGACGCTGTCCGATGACATCACAGGTTCGGCAGTGCCTCCGGCGAGGCGATGGACCGTATATATGCTGCTCGGGTGACGACGATAGCCAGTCCACCCAAGACCTCCAAGTCATAGGTAAGAATTCATCTTCCCGCGGCCTATAGAACAGATGTCTCGTTCCGTTTACATTTGAATTAACTTATTTGGGCCTGCTCTCCGTTACGACTTACGCCTTCACATCTTACCCTGAGTTTTGGGATTTCTTTATTTTGCATTAAACGGCGAACATCGATAGGGCTATTTCTAGGTACCATTCTGGAATAACAAAAAGGGCTTTTCCTCAGTACCGCTGTAGGGTTAAAAATGTAATATATTCTTCAAAACACTGAGTCCTCTTCGTGTTAATTATTGAGGAATCTGTGGGCTTCGGGAGTTCTATGTACCTACATTTTTCAAAGAAAGTCTCGAACTACCTACTTGATCGACAAATGACTGTTTTTCATTTTTCAGCATCATGAAGCTCCAGATCCTGTTGATCGCCGCCTGTGTGTGCGTCGCTTCGGCGGGCATCCCCAAGAAGCTATTCAAGAAATATGCCATGAAGAAGGTAAGTAGGGGACATCTAAAGAGAAAAGAGAGGGCATTGCTTTTGTTGTGGAACAAAACGATTGGTTAAGTATTTCAGCTCATTTAAATAATTCTGAGAATGATCAACGTTTCTATAACGCAATTCCAAAAGGTTATGCTTGAAAACGCGTGCTCATCATTAAAAGCGGCTATAATAGTGGGCAGTGGCCCAACCCATATGTATGCCAATACTACCAAAAAAGTGTCCACTGCCACAGCTTTGCAACTTCACCAGTCCGTTTCGTTGATAAGCCCATATCGTTCCTCGCAGGTGATGGAGAGCTGTTTCGGCGAGCAGGTGCTCTCTGACCTGAAGGCGGAGGTCGCCGCTGCTTGTGAGAAGTGCCACGGTCGTCAGGGACCTGCCCTGCCTCAGCTTCGTAACCGGCTGCAGGCCATGCTGGCCGGCTCAGAGCTGGGGCAGCCCCAGCCGTCTCTGTACTCGCAGAACGTGCAGTACGTGGCCATCCCCGTCCAGTTCCAGCCGGTACGTCTTCTCTTCATTTGCACCAGTTTTGGTTTAGCTTTTGAGATGCAATACTGAGCTACGAAATGCGACGACATTTGCGATTGTTAAATGGTATTTTGGTTTGAAGTTGTGTCGTTTTAACTTTCAAAAAATCAAATAGCCTTATTATACCTATTTTGTTTATAGAATATCTACGTTTTTCAAGCCTCGTTTCAGTTCAGCATTCAAGTGTAACCTAACCTCCATCATGCAATTATTATTACTCTTCTTTTACAAGGAGTATTCAGGCTGCTCACAGATCTTCGAACCGACCTTCCACAGGTGCAGGCTCAGCGCCGCTGGAGGCGCGACGCGCACCACGGCAAGTTCGGCGCCGCCAAGCTCATGCGCCTGCGCAACAAGATCTCTTCCATGGTCGGCAACGTCACCTGCGTCATGCAGGAGATGAACATGCTGACCGCCGACAACGAGGTCAACTACGACTCCATCAAGGCTCGCTTCTCGGCGCTGCCGGTGTCGAAGGGACTGGTGGCCGACCTGGAGGAGAGCGTTGAGGAGTGCCGCCAGTTCTCCTCTTGCCTGCCCGAGTCCATCTTCGAGAAGACTCCGATCACCGCCGGTTTTGGAAAGCAGGTCGCCTTCTTCAGGTGCATGAAGGTTAGTGTCTCATGCCAGTACACTATTAATAGTTTGCCTGATTTCGTTTATTTAGCTTTTGAATCAAACGCATGAGTAAGATTTTATCGCAATTTTCTTCAACCCATTAGGTGAAAACAACAGCGTACATGTTTTGCCAACATCCACCATGTGAATCAGTGTATCCTGAATCCATGCTGAGATTTTGCTCTGGTTTGCCAACAGAATGCCAAGATCGGGGCGTGCATGAAGAAGGACTTCCGTGAGCAGTACCTTCCGGAGCTTATGAAGGACGACGTGAATGTGGACGGCGAGGAGAGCTTCCAGACCATCATCACCTCGGCCATTCTGGAGGAGGACAGCATGATGTAAACTGCTGACTCAAAACTTAAGAACGAAGATCGAAGAAGATGGCGACCGGACCTCGCCATGTCTTTGGCCCTGTTCTACTGTGCTGTCAGAAAGGAGGGCATTTTCGTGTTTTTCATGTGATTTCCATTTAAATTGACGTGTTCCCATTCCGCAGCTGACCCTAAACTGAAAATAAATGTTTTTGTCGGTAGTTAAACTGTTTTGAAAAGAAAAAAAGAAAACAAAAATAACGTTTTGAGTTGATTGACACTTATGGACTTAGGTGATGCCAAAACATCCGCAGCAAAGCCACCTTCATCACGGCATAGACAATACACAGCTACAACACTTTATCAGTGGCTTCTGGCAGAAGCCGGATACACTAATTTTGCTTCTGTGAGCAATTCTTTAACTCGCGCCCGGCTGGGGGTCCTGGATTTCCACGCCCTGCTGGGGGGGGGGGGGTGTTTGAACACCCCCCTTCTAACTCGGCTCCTGGGCCACGTAGCGATACGCTGAAGTCGGCGTTCCAAAGAGCGTAAAAAATAATGTCGAAATCACTTCAGTCAATTTTTGGTCAGGTCAAAGGTCAGGTCACCAGAGGTCATTGTAGGCAAAATTTCGCCGATTTCCAGGTCGAATGTCGACAATTTCCAAGAAGCCAACGCATAACTCGGGAACCAATAGAGCCACAGCGCCGCGGAAAAGCGCATTCGATAGCCCTACTAACGCCCTTTCTGAGTAATCCTCTCAGATTTGACCTAACGTCAACGGTTTGGCATGCAGGGGGCAAAAACTGCAAAATAGCCGATTTTTCGGAAACAGTTTTTCTGCAATAACTTTTGACCCAAGCCTTGTACGAGCTTACTTTTACCGGCATAGTGTTCCTCTCGTCAAGACGCATCGAATGAACTATAACTTGACTTAAAAAGATCAACTTAAAAAAAAAAAAAAATGACCTCAGGTCAAGGTCATGACCTGACCGGAAAGGGTCATGTTGCATATCAGTCGATCCGTATCGTCGAGCTGAACACATCTAAGGCGTTTTCATCGCTCTAGCATGCCTCTATCAAAAGTTATTTGCGAAAAACTGTTAGATACCTTTCGTGACCTAAGATGACCTCAGGGCATAAACAGGGGTCACGGACACCATTTTCATGTTCAGTGTGTCTAAACCACTTGTAATTCAGTGTTTGGGAGTGTTTATATTGTCTTTCGTCCAAAAGAGGCGCATTTCAATTTTCTCCCATTGACTTATAATGGGGAGGTCGCAAAATTGACCTGACCTTAGGTCATCGATATCAAAGTTCTGAGATATACATTTTGTACATGCTATTGCTCTTAGCAACCGCTGAAAGTTTCAAAGCGATCGGTCACTCGGTGTAGCTATGGCAGACATTGAAACTTTTTACGAGGTTAGGTCACTTCAAGTGACCTGGTGACCTGACCTTGAACGACCTTGGTCTGAAATTTTTACAACATGTGTAGAATTGATGTATGATAAGATGTACCAAAAACAGCCGCCGTTTTTGAGATATTCGCGAAAATCCACAAGGGGGGGGGGGTGTTCAAATACCCCCCCCCCCCCCAGCAGGGCGCGGGTTAAAGTTGAGAAAAATATTTTGGCTTTTAATATTATTTTTTATGATAGGTGTACTGTGTTTCACGGTTTTTCTGATTGCGGGCTTGGTGCATCGTCAAAAACTGATAAGTCGAAAACAAACTTAGCACTGCTAACATGAGCCAAGGGTGTCACCCGTTAGCATCAACGATTCCTGCTATTTTAGCAATGCAGTGACATTACTGATTACAGG